GAAGATGTTCACATCCTGGACAGAGAGGAACGATGGTTTGAGAGAGGTGTAAAGGAGGCCATCTTTGTGAAAAGAAATCATCCATCATTAAACAGGGGTGGAGGCCTCCGGGTTCAACTGTCCCCCTCTTACAATGCTGTGATTGCTAGTATCACTCAGCCCTCTGTGAGTAGTAAACAGCCATCAGTGTGCTAATGATCCATTGTTAGGCTGATGGTCCTTCTTGAGCATGTGATCAACTGGTTTTGGTTGTCAGCAGCAAACTGGTTGATCCACTCTGTGAAGGTGCTATTTAAGAGACTGAGCTGAAAACAGCACCTCAGACTGAGGAAGTCTCTTGGATGAGAGACGAAACGTTTCTAGATTTTTTTGCTTTGTTTTGTTTTTGTTTTTTTGAATGTCCAGAGGACCAGATTGAACTTTTTTGGATATCAAACCTCATGTTTCTCCCTCTTTTCCTATTTAAGATTATTATTTTGAAAAAGGATAAGAGAGGCTGCGTTTACAGCAGCAGCTTCGTGCACTCCGTCCATCTTCCGGACGACTGCATGTACATGCTCTTGTTGTATCTCAGTGCAATGATAATAAAGTTTATTCTGATTCTGATGTTTAACGTTATGTCCAAATGCTGCTTGTAACAGTCAAGACAAATAAACTTACTTCTGGTTCCACTTTGGTAGGCTGAAGAACGAAGAGCTGCAGGGCTGTGAACACAGTGACGTCACACACATTAACCTTTTAATATCTAGATAAGCAGCATGTTTTACAAGATGTCTGTTTTTTATTTACAACAATCTTGGATGCAGTAAAAAGTGCAACTGTACCTCCATCAAATACTGCCAGGAAAGCCAGGATAAGGAAAGGAGCCGTTTTCCCAACAAAATCATACATGACACTGCCGAAGGGGGGGCCAACTGTGTAGGAGGACAGTCTGGTCAATCCTTAAAGCTTCAGCTGTTCCATGACAGCTCAAGGTACTACAACATCTATACAGTAGCTTCAGTAAGTATTCAGATCCCTTCACTTTTTGTAACTGGGAGAATGGGAGGGCTACAAGACATTTCGGAAGGTTTCCAGTAGCCCCTGTCATTCTCAAATAGAAGATGTTTGGTACAACCAGATCTTTTCCCAGAGCTGTTAACCTGACCACACTGAGCAATCAAAAGAGAAGGATCTTAATGAGAGAGGTGAACTCACAAGCTGAGGGTCACTGACTGAGCTTCAGAGATCCTGTTTAGTGGAGAGACTGAGTAGAAGAAACATGACTGCAGGTCTCTGATGATCTGGGTTTCATGACAGTGGCTAGATGAAACCTTGCCTCAGCACCAAACATCTTGAAGTTAAAAGGACTCTCAGAATGAAAGAAATTCTCAGGTCTGATGAAACTAATACTGAACTGTGTGGCCTCATCACCTGCCTCAACAGTGAAGCACGGGGGTGGCAGCATCATGCTGCGGGGATGATGCTAGATAAAGTGTTTCAGCTCAGCACTATATAAAAACATGAATATTTGTGTAAATATAATATTTAACTTTTATATTTTAAATAAATTAGCAAATATATATATATATATAAATATATATATATATATATATATATATATATATATATATATATATGTGTGTAATTAATTATTAATTACTGAGAGTAAATTATCGAGAATAAATGAAGTTCATTGTGTCAGCACAAGCTTACAAAAAGTGATGGGTTTTGAATACTCTGAACCAAAGGTTAATATTTTTGTGTTAGAATATGTTCTACAGCAGCAAACATGCCTCTAAGCCTGGATGACACTGACATATAAAATTATCTGTTGCTAAGTAAACAGTTGTTCAGCAGATGCAATAACTGGAGTCACATCCATAAATCTGATTGTGGCTGGAAGCATAATGTTCAAAACTCTGTCCATGCACAACAGCAAGAACATTTTCAGACATTCTTTTCATGAGACAAACACAGAGCATCATTATTATGTCATTATAACTTTAATTATATTAAATTAAAATTATAATATATATATATAATTGTATAATTATAAATGTTATAATCATTATTATATTTAACCAGCAATAAGGGTTAACGTTAGTCTAAGCAAGAAGATTAAAAAAAAAATCTCATTTGCATCACTGTGAAAGTGAATTCAAAAAGCGTTCAATACAAAAACTGTGAAAGTGATACAAGGTCACTTCTATGTGGAATTAAAAAGAAAGCAAGTAAAGTAATTTAAAAAGGCTATCAGCTCATGGAAAAACAGAACCAGTTTCTTGTTTTGTAAAAGCCTCCAAATGGCCCAGGACCACCAATAATTCTTAAAAAAAAAAACACTTTCTAATTTGCTGGTTCTCTTCCTAATTCTAAATTGCAGGTAAATGGACTGTACTTATACAGCATCTTTCAATCTCATCAAGACACTCAAAGCTCTTTACAATCTGTGCCTCATTTATTCATTCATACAGCACTCTATTAGACCTATACAAAGATTAGTCAGAGCTTTATCACATTCATACACTGATTGGACACACATCAGAGACAATGAGGGGTTCAATGTCTTTGCCCAGGGACACTTCAACATATGACTGGTGGTAGAATCAAACCCCCGACTCTTGCATTGGAGGACGACTGCTCTAACCACTCAGCCACAGCTGCCCATAAAGATAAACCAATAGCAGTAATTATTACACTCAACATTACACATGACTGCATTAAACTGTAGTAATCACAAACAAATAGAAAAACCCTAAAACCTTGTTTTGTTTATTTTGCCCATTTCCATCTACTTTACTGCATGAGGCCTAAATCACTTCAAAGATGCATTTAGTCCTATTTTACATGAGTTTGTGTGCAGGTCAATGAGCGTGCATGGTTTTGTTTCTTCACACTGGTGATAAATCTTACACTGGTCTTGAAACACGGGGACACTCTTTGAATTCATACGTACCCAACACGCCCAATGCCAGTCCTCCTAAGGCGATTCCAATGGCGTGACCTCTCTCCTCATCATCTGTGTACACACTGGCCAGCATCCCCATGCCTACAGACACAGTGCACGACACACTGAGCGCAGTTTCAGCCTCAGATGATTTGTAACAAGAACGTTTGTTCACATCTTGACAATAGAATGCTGTCAAAGCATTAAAGACAGAGCTACAGTGTGCAGGCTGTTCAGTGTGCAGGCTGTTCAGTGTGCAGGCTGCTCAGTGTGCAGGCTGTTCAGTGTGCAGGCTGCTCAGTGTGCTGGCTGTTCAGTGTGCAGGCTGTTCAGTGTGC